ACTTCGCTAAGGAGCAAAAGGTTGAGGGGCCTTATTTGTATGGTATTGTAACTACAGCTCGGGACTGGCACTTCCTGTTGTATACAAGGTTGCGAGGAAGTGCCAGGAACTGACTGGGAGCCAGGGTGATACAAATTTTTATGTTATACATCAAATGCAACGCCTCCGGTTAATTTGTTATAAAATTATAACATGAATGGTTGAGTCGTCATATATTAATTAAATTTTAAAAATAAAAATTTTCACTTCCTTTTGAAATATTTATCATGATTTTATTATTATTATGTTATTATTAAGTTACATCCCCCATTTTAATGTTATTTAAATGGGAAAAAGTTCCGTTTATCCAGAACTTAGTATATTTCGAATGATTAAAGAACATTTTCACTATGGAATTCAGATAATGACGATTAAATGTAATTGGATGATATGATAATGTTCGCTTCCCTCCAAAAATAAAGCAAAAAGTTACAGCACCCAGTATTCCCACGTTGTCCCCAACCGTAGTACTGACTAGGCCATCAGTGGCTTAACTTCGGAGATCGGACGGGTTCCGGTGCTTTTCACTGTGTATGGCCGTAACTGATAATTGTGGTTAAAATTGTCATTTTCAGTTAAAAATCATCGGCCCACGACGGTGTTGCTTCATGAAGGCAAGTAAATTAATTTTTATAGGGTCGGAATTTTGTAATACCAAAACGACTCACGTAATGAAATCTAAAAAAATCTTTTTAGAAGTGAATTACTAATATTTTAAAACAGCTAGCTTATCCATCCATAAATGGTCATATAAAAAATATCACCCTTAAATAAGAAATAATCGAAAGGAGATTCTACCTTCTAAAAGGTGAAATGAATGGAGGATTGTCGCAAATCACGTGCTTTTCCGATTATACGCGTTTGCATGTGAATCTTTATGCTATTCCGATTCTATTTAATGAACATTCTCAAATTCTCTGAAATAATAGTAAACACAAATGGTGGAATTGTAAAATTAATTCGAGAAAATACTCGATAAAAAATCTTCACTGTTCCATCGTATGATTTTTTTTCCATCGCTCTTAAAAATGTAAATGATGATTTCCAAATTCGAGAATTATTGTGTGAATGGATTACCTTCTTTATGGGGATACAAATAGGTTAAAAAAGAAGCCATGAAAATATAGCCGTTTATTTTACAAATGAAAAATTTTTGGGGTGATATAATTTGGTAAAAGTGGTAAGGGTAAAAATACAATATCAAGAAAGCAAGCAGGTTTATTTTTTATTAGAAAATTTTTGTGCAAATATTTAAAAAAGTTCATAATTCATTACTTTATTTTGAATTTCGGATTAGGTGACACGGTTGTACAAACATGAAATTTCCTTAGAAGCTATTATTTAAATTTATCATCAAAAATTAAACGTGACTTTTTAACCCATCTTTTTATGTCACGAAGATCGTAGGGCAGATTACATAATAATTTCAACCGCAGAAGCAAAAATATGTAATCCACAATTTATTGTAAATGAGTTGTTTAAGTTATCCTTTCATATTAAACAAATTTCGAAAAAAAATGTCTCATGATAACATTGATAAAATTTTATCTTACAAAAAGAAAGGTCAGCGTGCTAGAGTCGATGGCGAAGGTGTAGCGACCACAAGGTAAGTTTTTGTTAACTTTTCTAATTGTATTAAATTTTATTAATTAGGATAATTCTGTATTAATTTACTTTTAGTGATCAATGTTATATAAATGAAATTCCTATAGAATTATTTACTCACATTGTTTCTCTACTTGCTCCGAAAGAACTAGTAAGATTTATGCATATCCGTTTTGATTTATGTTAATTCAATGTAAATTTAATTTGATTTTCTATTAAAATTATAGAGCAAAGCGGCTCAAGTATGTAAACATTGGCGATGGATCATCACTGATGATTCATGCTGGAAGAGTGCATTCATTCAATTTTTCGGATGTCTCCCATTTAGGTGATTTGACCTAGAATTACTTTTTTAATTTACTCTCAAAAGTAAAATGGACTCTAATTATTTCATTTTATAGACGATTAGCAAGTGATAGTTGGAAGAATGAATATATTATTCGTACAAAATTACTAAGGTATTTTTATGCTCAATTTCATTTATCTATATTACAAAATTTTCTAAGATTCTATTTCTTTTGTTGTGATTAGAAAGTGGGAAAAGGGACGAGGATTAGCCCTAAGTTTTGATCCAAGAGTTGGTGTAATTCATAATCTTTATGTTGAGTCCGTTAATTCTTGGATGTTAGCTGGTTCTTTAGAAAAAGGCATGGTTTCAAGATCTGATCCTAAGACCGGAAAGATTAGCAAGGACATTATATTTTCGACACAGGAGCGAGTTAGTCATAGCATTTCTGCTATGTTAATAGATAGGTAATAAAATAATTAATTAAGATGAGAGTTAGAATTATGTAATTCTAAAACAAAAGATGATTTTGAATTTAACCAACTTTTTTTTTTAAAAAAAAGGCATAGGATCCTATGGGGCTATAGGTCAGGCGCAGTTGGACTTACTACCTTGAATAAACATGGTTTAAATCGATTTTTCAAACAATTTCTCGATTTCCATGCAGGACCCGTTTCAAGTCTTGCTTGGTCAAATCAACTCACGAATATTGTTGCGAGTGGTGGTGAAGATGGTTTAGTTAACCTCTGGGATGTTAATTCTGGAAGATGCATTGAAAGTCTTCATACAAGTAGAAAGATAAATTACTTACATTATTTATTTAGTAATGTATGAATGTAATTTTCTAACTTTATTTTATTTTAGATGAAACTCATGGTATTGAAAAAAAGATCACTACTTTGGCGTGGAATGTGAATAAATATATAATAGCAGGAACAGCAAATGGCGCAGTTCATATTTGGTCAATGGATTCCACAACGATATCTTCATCTGAGAATTCTCCACGTGACAAAAATATACCGCACGATAAAATTGTTGGTACAAATAAAGTGATTTCATTGCATTATATTGAATCGTCAAATGCCTTGATCGTAGCATATGAAGGATCCTCAGAAATAAAGCAATTTGATTTGAAGACATTGAAGTGTATTTGTGTGTTCAAGGATGGGCATCTTGGTAATGTGACATGTACTGTCATTGATATTCAGGAAAATAAGAGTAATTCAAATGAAGGTGGGATCAAATCATTAAATATTCTAGCAAGTGGGGATACGATGGGTATCGTTTGTTTATGGAAAATTGATGGTGATAATGATGGAATTCAGAAACCTTGTAGGTGGGTATATCAAGTAATGTATCATTTAACAATGTGATGAACCTCAACATTTAATTTTTTCAATTTTTAGAGTTTTCGAGGGGCGACCATCACCAATTACTGCTATTCACTTTGATGCCTTTAAGATAATAACTGGAAGGTTAGATAAGATAGATAAGATATTGTTAAATATTTGTTTTCTTTTTTTTAGTAATCCAAGTATTCTTTATTTAGTTTGGATGGATCTGTAATCGCATTTAATCCATTGACTTCGAATGAGATTTGTACATTGTATCAGAGGTATCAATCAGTGTTAAAAAATGAAAAAATGAAAAAAAGATGGAAACTTTATTTATTTTATTTTGGATTCCTTGCTTACTAGACCTCGAAGAATGAATAGGAACCAACCAAGGGTGGCTGTTACTTGTATTTATTCAAAAGAATACCGAACTGTAGTGACCATTGGAGGCCAGATTAAGACTTGGGATTTTGAACCTGACATTGTTAAAGGTAAAACAAATCTCTTTTAGAGAATGATAAGCTATATATGTATAGTTATATTTATTAAATGTTGTAGGAAATAAAGCTAAAACCTCAAGGAAAAAAAACACTTCCGTTTCAACACCTAAATATATGAGTAAGTATCATTAGAAAATGCCGCATTTAGTTTCTCAAAAAATAATAATGATAATAACGGTAACAACTATTTCTTAAGAATTACAGAATGATGTAAGAGAATCGACACAAATATTTGAGTTAGAAAAGCAAGAACGTGAAGAACATCTTGCAAAAATGCTAGAATATGCACCAATTCCTGGATTAACTAATGAAGAAATGTTAGCATATGCTTTAATGATTTCTAATGAAGAACATCAAACTGAAGATGATCTAATTGCTGAAGCTTTAAGAAGATCCTTGGAAATTCAAGAGCACGAGATGATACCTTAATATAAAGATTTATTATTTTAATAATCGTTATTATAGAAGTTATACTTAATATAATGGATTAACTTTATTTAATAAACTGATTTCTGAAGTGACACGTGAAATTTTGTTAAAATTCACTATAAATTATTTATAATAATGTTTTTTTATAACAAGTAATAAATTTTCATTATGTGTTCTCTTATATTAAGAGAAACGTGTAGTATTCTAAGAGAGAGAACAAATGATATTACACACTTTAAAATAAAAGTTCACTATGCTTTATTAATATATGTTTGAGAATACGTGTGCAAGAAATACTTTTTCTTCTGGTGGTAGAGATATCTGGGCTCATCAAAATTGCGCAGAAAAAATGTGATGTAATATAGTATGTCAAATGATAGTTTATGGCACAGTACTTCGCAACGATCAAAAAAAATATTACATATTCCAAATGCATTACACGTACTCCACACATTCATACACATTCGCAAAGCAAATAAAATATAAGCCCAGATTGTTATTAAAACATTTTAGCTAAAGGCTTCAAAAGAAAAAGTTACCATATTTCTTCTTATTACAAAATATAATTCTATTAATTAATTTTATTTTTATCTGCGCCTATATACTACAGTACAAGAACTGATTTAACAATATACAAAACCCTATCGGGTGATTGCATCATTACAGGTGACTTATCGAAGTTGATTATTATTCATAAGAAAATTATGCCTACAATTCAGCTAAGATTAATGCTAAATTAATCACTTTTCATCTTCAATATCACTACAATCCCAATCATCTGGGATTTTTTTCTTATACTCTTGGATCCACTATTGACAAGGAAATAATGTGCTTGCATTCTCCATGTCAATAATTACTCTTGGTATTATACTTTTTCTTCTTGATGCATCAGATGTTTGCTGATATTAACCTTTTCTCTGAGGATTACAAGGATAAACAACAATCATCTTCATATTACGATTGAACCAGCCCTGATCTTTGTAGATCTTATTTAATGTATCATTGGCTTTAAGAGGATTAGACTTTTCATTTTTGTCTATAAACATCTGATTTGGTTCAACAGTTCTACAGTCTGATGCAAAAGTCTTTGGACAAATATTTTTTGTCTGGTCCTTTTGGATGCGATAAACTGGTCATTGACCCTTATACCAATATTTCACAGTATTATTAAATAACCAAAAGGATGTTTCGTCTGAAAAAAGAGTGCAATTCCAGTCATTATTCATATAGTTTTGGATCCATTCTATACGTTTCTGCTTATGCAACCTTGTAAGCATCGGGTTTGCAATAGGTCGCTTCTTATCATAGCTAAGGTTAGTTAAATGCTGCAAAACTGTACTGTAGGACACGTTTACATCCTTTAGCGACAATTTAGATGCTAACTTTCTAGAAGAAACTGCTGGATTTCTTCTAATATACTACTCAAGAGCTTTTGAGCTCTCTGAAGTGATTTTTTTGGGGACGACCGAGGTGTTTTTTGTGGATGACGCTTCTGGTTTTTTTCAATTTTGCTAAGTTAAAATATATTGTGAACCTTGGTATGTTTGTTCTACGTCTTATTTCAGCTGCATTCATAATCCCAGAATTCCACAAATGTTGAATGGATTGAGCCTGCGCAGTTTTGTTATCAGTCTTCATTTTGTCGCTAAATTAAAAAAATTTTTTCTGACAAAGTTGACAATTAAAATGCCAATTGATTGTCCAGATGCTATATTTTAAATGTTTAAAATTTAAACCGATTTGGATTTAAATTGGCTGATCTATGTAACTTTTAATTTTATCACTGATCATTCAAAGACTGTTGCATCAGACTGTAAATGATTCTTTTTTTCTTAACTTGACCTAAATGCTAAGAATATAGGATTTTCATTCTTCATCCAATTGCATATCATCTTCTGCTCTTAGAAAGAAAAATGCAATTGAAATATCAGATCCTACCATATTTGGTGGGTAACATATTAGGCAAAATCCTTTAGGAGCATTCTCAGTTTTCTCCCATTCTGCCACCGCTCTAAGCTACTCAAAATAATTATTAGCAGTAGTAGATTCTACAGCTATCCGGCCCATACAATTATCACCATATGGTAACAGCTAGGAAGATCTTTCAAAATCTTCAAAAAGGTAATTGTAATTTCTAATTGCTTCTTTTTCCTTATTTTCACTTTTACAAAAAACATTCTACTTTCAGATAAAGCTGTATTACTTTCAAAGAGTTTCTCACGCAAAAAATTTACAACAACCTTCTTCTAAATAAGTCCTGCCATAGACGCATTAAAATTGGTCTGCAATTTTAGCCGAAATCATACGTCATTTGAATTTCTTTTAAAGTAGTTGAATGCAATTTGAATAATAAGAGGCTTGTCAATGACGCATATAAATTTTTGAATGTTTCTGATATAGATAAAACCTAAATTCATAATATCCATCTTCTAATTACTGGCAAATGTTATTATTGGTCTTCCTGTCATAGAATATGAAATAAAAGCACTTTTCATTAGTTTCAATATGATAATACAGTTGATACTGGTAGGTCGACCAGGAGGATATTTTTCCAAATTTTTGAAGCCTGTGTAGATATTATATTCTCTGTCTGATAAATATTCAGCTTTGGTTGTAAGATTCTTAACGAGACTCATTAATTGTTTTTCAAGATCAAAATCATCAGAACTAATGAAATAATGTATTCATGTTTACAACTAACAATAGCGACTCTATTAAGAAACTAAATTATAAAAACTGAAAAAAATCAAAATTAGCAAACCATCATGAGATATTACCTTTAATCAATAAATCGCAGATAATACAGCTCTTGTTCCTCTTCTTTTAAAGGAATTATACTTTTTATCAGTTCAAATAACTCATAAGAAGTTTTAATTCGACCAAACTTATTAAAGATTAGAATGCTATAAATAATGGTAAATTAATTAATTATTCAAAGTCACTGAGACTGGTAAGATTAATTTACTGTGATTCCTCTTTTCTCTTGAGAATATTTCATTTCTTGCTCACAATAATAATAGGCCAGACCTAGTTATGCAAATAATTGCTTTTGAAATTGAAAAAAATGATCTTGAAAAAGACTGAATCACTACAGAGAAAAATGCCTTTATCCTATCTTAATTAAGTTATGCAGAAGGGAATGTTTCTGACAAAAAAACAGTGTGAGCTTGAGCTTTATCATAGACGACCGGAAAGAATTCTTTAAGTAATCCTCTGATATTAAGGTTCTTAATAATAAGATTACAACATTTAATGCTGTCAAGTTCTATCATATCTTAGAATATTAATAGTAGATTTCTAAAAATAATGTAATCAAGCTAAAGGAATAGTCAAGATTTGGGTACTATTATAGTATTATATTCTTCAGTTACATTAAAGAGATGTTAAAACAATAACAGTCGTCTAACAATGCAATTGATCACTGCTTACATTACAATTCCTTCTGCATCTTTAAATGATTTATCTGCAATATTATATTTTATCTAAAATGCTAATTCTTTTAAGTCTAAAGAGCCAGTATCATATGAAAAAGCAATTAAGTATAAGTCAAAGTTGTGATATAAAGTTTTAAAACATAAGCGAGTTTTATCACAACCAGAGGTTTCCAATACAATAGTTTGTCACTTCTTGAAAGAATTTATGCTACATGCTTTCATAATCAGTAAGGCCTTTTTATGCTCTTTAGAAAGGTTATGCAGAAGTAAATTAGGTTGTCTGTATAATATCAGAATATTTTTTTTATTAATAGATTCTTTGTATTTATTATTTTCTGATGCTCTAAAAGCTGAATACAATTTGTATGTATTTTTTGCAACCTTTATTAAGTCATGAGAATGATCATTAAATAGTTTTTTAACTTTACTTATTGTAACATCAATTGATTTTATTGATTTTGTTAAAAATACTGTATAATAGAAATGAATGAGTAAATTTCAGATAAATAATGAGATAATATAATTAAAAAGCTAAACAATGTTGCGTTGATCAAATCTATTACAATTTATTTACTAGCAAAGGTTTGCTATATAATATATAAATGTGTTTTTGAGTGGGTTTAACAATAAAAAGCAGAAAAGAAAAGCACAAGAATAAGTAATTATTTGGTATTTTTGGTAAATATGACAAAAAACAAATTGTAAGAATATACCAGTTTCAGGTTTATTCAATATTACTCTTAAGTATGAAAGCTTAGCATTATTGTTTGAACAAAATATAAGAAATTTCTTCACATCAGATTTTTTTGTATCATTGTCAGTAAGATATTCAAATAAATAAACTAATTCTCCTTCATTTAATGCATTAGTTTCATTAGCAAGACTGTTGACAATATTAAGAATATTATTAGTTGACATGGTACATGATTTTTATGCAAAAAAAGTTTTACAAGTTTGATATAACATTAACTTTGTAATTTTATTGATTGAAGTTTGTGATAAATATTTTTGAAATATCATATAATTATTAATTTTGATTTGTTTCAAAAGCCTTTCAAGTTATATGAATATTCGCATTTATTATATATATCTGACCAATCAAATTATAAAATTTCAAAATTGTTACATGTGATTAACCAATAAATATTAGTTTAAATATTTAAATTAATAATATGAAAATGATTATGTAACTATAAATTTAATTCCTTATGATAATTATAAATCAATTTAATTTTTGTATATATCAACATTTAAGAAAATTAATAAAGATATATATATAATATAATATATAATAATATAAATTTTACAGTCCTAGAAATAATATATTTGTATATTTTAATAAATTTTTTGTTGCTACTATATTATGTATTACCTCTTTTATATTAATTAATTTATCTTCATTTGCATTTTTAATGTAATCATCAATAAATTTACCTTTAATCTTTTCTTTTATCATTAAATTTATTATTAATATATTAATATTATTTTTAACCTTATCCAAAAAATAATCTAAATAAATAAAATATTTAAATTAGTTCTTTTAGAAGTAAAGACTATAGTAATTATGATCACATGCTAAAATTTTATTATTATGTGAATTATTATCATAATATATGTAATCATATAAAATACTAATATTTAGTTTTTAGAAGTAATGATATTTCTTAAAAAGATGTTAATCAATTATTTTATAACTTAATAAAGAAAATTTATTTGTGTTAATACTATCATATGAACTGAATAACACTCTTATAAGAGTGTTATCCAGTTGCACTATAATGTTATCTAGTTATGAGTATAATGTTACCTAGTTACTGTTTTTACTGTTCTGTGATCATTTTATTGCTTTATTGCTATCCACTTGATTTTATTGCTCTATAGCTTTTTTATTGCTTTGTAGATATTTGCTTGATTTTATTACTATGTTCTCTTTTTATTTCTTTCTAGCTATCCACTTGTTTTCAATGCTCTGTAGCCTTTTGTGGCTAAGATACTAGACTAATATTTATTACATAAATCATGTTGTGATCGAGTGACATAGTCAAATCATATGACTTTATTCTAGTTAATTTCAGCCCAAAATTATGGAATATAATGTTAGTCAAATTATTGTAATTTACTATGTTAAAAAAAAATCATATGCGTGATGCATTCCCAGAACCTTCCTGTCACTTCTTTGTCACTTTTTCGCTACTTTTGAGGTTTTGACTGGAGGATCTAATGGTTAAAGAATCAGAAGTACTAAAATCGGCTTATGTAATTGCCAGGAATTAATACTGAACTTGCTTGCAATCCTACCTTTATTTGATTGTCAGGTTAAAACACGAAGTGCTGAATTTGCAATCTATATATTTTCCTTCTTAATTGTCATCTCTTAATTGCTGAATAAGACACGAAGTACCAAATTTGCAATCCATTTATTTGCTGAAAATGTGTCACAATCCATTCACTTACTTTTTGATTGCCAGTCAGATATGAAGTGCCAAATTAGTTCAGGCTATATTATTTTCATACCTTTTTTTATATATCTTTCTGAGCCTTTTTGCCTTTCCAATCTCTTTCCTGCCTATCAGCGATAATATCCAAAAGTATAATTTCTTATTTTATTTCTATATAATTCTATCTTTAGATACTACCAAATCTATACTCTTGTTTTCGCCTGAGCCTTTCTAGAATTTTTTCTCGTATAGTTGCTATTTTAGGGTATTCCTGTATATGATTACTGCAAGTTAGGCACATGCAAAGTGTCAAATTAGTTCAGGCTATATTGCTCTTTTTTTTGTGTATTCTCCTGAACCTTTCTGTCTTTCCAATCTCTTTCCTACCTATCAGCGGTAGGCTAATCGATTATAATTTTTTTTTTCTTTTCCTTATATAATTCTGCTTAAGTAGCCTATTAAATTTATATCTTATTTTTTGCTCCTGCCTTTCTAGAACCCTTTCCCATAGAGTTACTATTCTTGGATACTTTAGGATACTACTACATTGATCATTTTAGGATGAGATATGAAGTTCAGGCTATATTGCTTTCATACTTTTTTTGTGTATTCTTCTAAATCTTTCTGCCTTTTCAATCTCTTTTCTGCCTATCGGTGATAGTACACCAAAGCATAACTTCTTATTTTCTTCTTATATATTATTCTACTTTAGTGTACTACTAAATTTATATCTTATTTTTTACTCTTGCATTCTTAGAACTCTTTTCTGTATAGTTACTACTCCAGAATACTTTAGGATACTATCATATTGATCTTTTTTCTGCCTATTAGCAGTAGTACACTAAAGCATAACTTCTTATTTTCTTCTTATATATTATTCTACTTTGGTATACTATCAAATTTATACCCTAGTTTTCACCTGAACCTTCCTAGATTTCTTTCTCATATGGTTGATATTTTAGAGTATCCTATATATGATTATTTTGATTTATTATTGCATTGATTACTTTAGATACTACCTTATAATTTACTTTTAGGTACTACCACTGACCAGTATTTTGTTAGCAAGCGTATTTGTCCAAAATTTTTATTTTAAAGAATTGGAAAATTTACATATAATTTTATACTTAGTATTTCTATACATTGTATTATGCTACATGCGTAAAAAAAATGCTGGGCCTCGCCTACTTGTTTGTTCTAAACTACTTGAATTAATCTCAAAATTAAAGATATACTATATTTCTATTTTACTGTAAATCATCAATAAAATTTTGAAGCATTTCAAGTTATTTTAAAGCAAAAAGAAAGGAAACTTCATAAAGATCTTAATTTTATAAAATATCAGTTAGACTGGAGTAAATAAGAAATAACCTGTATTCATACAGTTCTTTATACTCCGTATTATGATTGGATTATAACAGGAGAAGAAATTGCAAATATTCATGCAGTAATCAAATCCCATATAAATAATCTTACAAGAATTCTCCCCTATCTTATTAAGTCTTCTGTTTTACGAAATAAATTTCATATACAATGACAAAATCTTTATAAACAGACGAAAAAATTGTTAAAAGATATCAATCTACTTAATGATATCAATAATACATAAAAAGAGCGAATATATAGACAAGATTGTTAAGTAATATTATCAATTACCTTAGCCGAAATTGCCACTTCTTGCTAAGAATATTGATAATACTTATTTTTTACTTATGCAATAGTAGTGACCAAGTTTAATTTTATTTTCCTGGATTTGCATATATTCAGATTGATTCTTCCAATCAAATTAATCTGAAGCTGGTGATTACTACTACAAATTTCTATATGTGATATTTTATTGTACCTATAAAATGCAAGACGAAATTGACACTAAAGCTTTAGTATATGCCCAGAGATGTGAAAAAAGATGCTTAGGCAAAGTTAGTCCTAATACATATTTATGGTCATGTAAAAAGGGTCATTAATAGAAGACGCTATATAAAAATATGAAACAGAATTATAAATGGTGTACCATTTGTCCTAATGTACTGGAAAGAACATACTGATATATATTTGAGGATTTATTACATAAAAAATTTCCACTCTGAAAGCCTAAATTCCTGGAGGGATTACATCTAGATAGTTATAATAAAAAATTAGGCTTGGCCTTTGAATATAGTGGTAATCAACATTATCAAATTGTTCCTTTTTTTTACTCGTAAGAGCAGATAAATCTAGACGCACAAATCTGGCATAATTGGAAAAAGAGAGCACTATGTTACAGAGAAGAAGTAATCCTTATAACTATACCCTACTGTGTAGTAAACTTAGAAACTTTTATAAGGAACGTCTTGTACGCATTTGGTTATTTCCTAATACTACCTAGAAGGCAACATAGGTTCTTTCTTAATATGCATTAACTGTTCTCTTATGAAGGGTCGTTGAGGTCTGATTCATCTAAATAATATAAAATAGACATTAGAGGATTCTTTCTAACAATAATTCTCTGAATCTTATGTAGGCTAGAAGACCATATTAGATCTGTTATCCTATATCGTTCGAAAGGATCATGTTCTCATTCTCCTTTAGCAAGTAAGAACCAGACGGTAATACCTTTTGGTAGTTGAGGTTCATCAATACCTATTAGGCGATTATATTTTACCGATAGTTTGGAATATATCTGATTAAGCTTTGTGACATTATTAGAGCTTATCCCAATCAATCAAGTTAGGCTATCTTTCATATTATCAACAATTTTTCTTGTAAACCGTTCACATTCTCTATAGCACTTGCCAGTAGGCAGAAAAAACTCTACTGAATACTGATTTTTAAAAACTCTTCTAAAAAAATGTCTAGCATAATTGTCAAGAATATCCAAGCTTATATGTCTAAAACGTGCTATAATTTTTCAGATCTTAATGCCATGTTCATTTATTAATAAAATCACATATTCCATAAACTCAATGCCCTTATCACATTGCATTTTTTGAGACCAGTTAAGAGGTTTATCAGGATTATCATATATACTCTTAAATACTTCCGCAACTTCCTCACTGTTCTTTAATATTAAAAAAATGAAATCTTTATATCTAGTCGTGCAATCTATAACTAATAGTACATAATAATATATTGGACCATCATCTAGTAAATTTGTATCTACATCTTCATCATATGGTATTTTGATTAAATCATATTAGTGCACAGTATTTAGCTTCGTAATTTTAAAGTAACTGGCATAAGGTATATGCTTTGATAAAGGACAAAAAATTTGATACATTGCTTGGCTCTCAAGCAATTTTTTTACATCAATAAATGGAAAGCTGTAGTTAGCTTTTTTACAAGCATCCCATAATCCCTTAACATTTTGATACAAACCTTCAGAACAATAATATAGTTTTTGCAAGGCAAGATGCTAGTCTAAATTATGAGCTTTTTGAGGATCGATATTAATCGTAGATGTTTGTTTTGCTATGATTTGATCTAGCTTTCACACTTTTTGAG